TGTCATAGATCAAATTTATTCGTTCAGTGTATGTTTACTTGCTTTTGTTTATATTTCTTTTTGATCGAGTTAAGCCATTTTAATTGATATTTTATTGTGCGTCTTTCTATGTTGTAATGTTATACTACTGTTTCAGGTTAGGGTGAAGGTTGGCACCTGTTAAAACGTTTAAACCTGCTGCATTTGTTTGCACCTGTCCTAAGCCAGGAACCTGTTGTTCATTGGTTGTCGTTTGTTGATGTGGTTCATAAGTGTTTCTCGTTTCTCATTTTTTATATAGATTAGAACGTTGGTTTTCCTGTTTGAATAGTTTTACAGTAGTCATTTTGGGGCCCTTTATAGCTTGCTGTTCGCGTGAGCCAAGGCTCTGTGTTGAAGGCTGTACTTTGACCTATAATGGTTTACTTTTTATAAATTGTGACTTGGATGGAGAGTTGTCTCATTACTACATCTTCTTATATCTATTTATATCTACCAACATATGGCTTTGAATCCTTGCAAGGTATTCATTAATATCTAGCAACATACGAACTTGATCATGTTGATTATATGAAATTCAAATACCCCAGTAATGGAAATTCAGAAATTATTGTGTTCATTTATTATTGCGATTTTTGAAGAATGGACAAAAATGCAAGATTATTACTGTGAATTCGGAAAAATCTCAATACAGATATCAGAATAAAAGTTCTTATTTTTGCGATACTCACCCAGTCACATTATTAAAAACCTTGCAATAATTTCTGAGTTTACAGTAGTCATCATGTCACAACAAATACAAACTAAATTTCTTACAATTTGTCAATTATTTTTTTTTTACTCTATCAAGTCTTTTGTAAAAGGTATCATGTTGAAACTAAAACTATTCAGTTGGTACCTGCATCAAACTTTATAAACTAAGCAATATTTGACAGCAATGCTTAAGAAACTTTTAATCAACTTAATGAGTCATGATACAATATAAAATTACTGGTCAGGTCCAGTTGCAAAACAGTGATTTAAACAAACACAAATTTATCCATTAGAATGCAGCTAAAACAAACAAAGGGATTTCAACAACAAATATATCTTATAATATCTAACATTACTTAATATAATCACTGTGTATCATCGCCACCGGAAATTGGGTACTAACGAAGCGGAGAGAAATGGAAAAAAAAGTAAACAAGGTAAGAATTCATTCAATTTAAAGCATTTCTACTGATTTGACGAGGGTACCGCTTAAGAAATGATTTTCTGATATATAATTCTTTAAATTATTAGGCCGATAAGTACAAAATTAAGACAAGATTTTATGTTATACTCAAGAACTTGCCACTTAGTACCTGAAAATTTCGAGGTCGATCGTCCTCTGTCGCCCCATTGGCAAGATATTCAACTGTTTTTCATTATTTTTCTACACACTTTTTTAGATTATTATAGTGTGGCATCATATTTACTGAAATTTGTTGTCAAAATGAACGTTTTTAAAGAATATAGACCATAAAAAATAAAGTCTAGGGTACGGCAACTTGCTCATGTTGACAAATTTACTGTATGGCAACTTGTTTTCAACTGTATGGCAACTTGCTAATTTTAAAATATTTATTTGCCGTCTTTTTAAAGAAAATAAAGTATTAGGCTCAAATATCTAATTATGCATTTGATAAAAATACAATTCGCTTGACATCATTTATGATGTATACACAATATAAGGCTTGAACACAGTCCTATTACATCTTTTACATACCTGATGTATTCAATATGAATACGGCATATACAAAAGCTGGCAAATGTTGTAACTTTCGGAAAGGCATGTCACTGTTTTACTGACCTGTTGTTCTGCCCTGACGTAGCGTTAAATGTTACCCATGTCCGTCAGACCCGTCCCTCCCGTCCGTCCAGAAAGTCCCAATAATTGGTTTCCGTTCTCTCACTTTAGTATGCCTTAACCAAATGTTTTAAAACTTACACGAAATGCTTATCACCACAAAACACAGATCAAGTTATAAATTGGGTAGCGTCACTGTTACCGTTCTTGAGTTATGCCCTTTTATAAATGGAAAAAAGCTAAAGCTGTCGTTTCTGTTCTCAAACTTTAGATTGCCTCAACCAAATGTTTTAACCATACAACATTAGTCAGCATTTGCATATAAATGATGAACATTTCGGGGATGGGTTGTGGGTGGAGGGAAGGAAGGAGGTAATGGCAGGAGAATTTTTCCGCATTGAATATTTAGAACCATTAAGTGAATGAATTCTCTTTCAACTTTCAGATAAAATGAAATATAAATGAATTATCATCCTCTGCAAAAAAAAAATGTTGTATTGCTACACCACGGCACCATGTTAAGGGAGGTTTGAGTGCTCACAAATATGTTTAAGCCCGCCTCAATATATATGTGTCTGTCCCTGGTCAGGAACATGTAATATAGCGGCTGTCGTAAGTTGCTGCCTGACATATTTGTTTATGATTTTGTCATAAATCAGGCAATTTTGATACGGTATGGGTTTTGTTCATTGTAAAGTGTATAGTAACCAATAGTTGGTCAAATCTATTTCATTTGGACTTTTTTGAAAGTCCTCTCAGTGAAAACCATTCCACGTCTCCTTTTTCAATTAATGTTATTGTCTTATTTGTAAAAGGAAGATACAGCCAATATATTAGAATAAAGAACATTAATTTTCTAAAAAAAACTTCATCTCTATATAGTAAGAAATGAACAAGATCGGTGGCTAACACTGTTTAAATTTTAAAAAAAATATTAACCTTAGATTAATCATTTTTTGGAAAGAATGAAAGAAGAATCCGATACAAGGGATACAAATCCGGCTGTGGCTACGGCATAAACTATTTATATAAACTTTCTACTTGAGAATAAAGATGACCTTGTATGAAGTTTTTTTTTTGTTGTCATCTTAATATTATATGCTTATTAATACAATTCACAAAAGCTAGCATCTTCGACTTGTAAGTTTAAAGAATTATAATGAAATAACATCTAATAAGGACAGGTTGAAATATTTTTGAATCCTGATGGTGCATACTCATAAATTCTTTTGGAAAAATCCACGTAAATTAAAATGTTGATTTGATAGCGTTCATTTATTTATTTGCCCTCGTAAACAGTTTTGTTAAAATACCGAAATTGGTAAATTCTTATCGTGAACGAATAAGTCGGGTACACCTTTTTACATTCAGGCGTGCTTAAGTTGCACTTTTTTCTTCTTATTAAGAAAAATGATTTGATTTTAGCATCTATCTAAAGATTAGATTATTTACACACACACAAAAATAGGGCTTACTGTTGATTTTGAAACTCTATGAATTCACATTTATATTCAACCAAACAGATAGGCCGAGATCCATACCTTTATAAGTTTCAAAACAGAGAAGGTGTGTTTGAAAACAAATAATCACGTACTGCTATATCTTTTAAGGCAAATGCAAGTCTTACTTGTATTAATTATATAATTTGATTGGCACAATATCACGTTAAAATTTACTGAGAAATATTATACATAGTAATCATGAAAATGTACTACTGTAACAATGAAAATTCGGACGAATACACTCCTTTTCACTACCCCTCCATCTTTTCATTTAAGTTTAGGCCAAACAGCCTTAGCAACAGTCTTTTATTATTTTTTCCCTGTAAATAAAAAGATTGATTGAATTTACTTAAACTAAAAAAAAAAAAAAATACAGTCTTATTTTCAATAAGAAACAAGAAAATTAATTCGAAACATAATTCATGATTTATTTCTCCTAATTTTCAATGAAAACAAAGTATTTTCTTCACTTTTCTTTTAACAGATTATTCATTTCAGAAATTTAAAAAATAAACAATAAACAATGTTGAAAACCGTACCTTGACCTATAATGGTTTACTTTTATAAATTGTGACTTGGATGGAGAGTTGTCTCATTGGCACTCATACCACATCTTCCTATATCTATTTAACCCAGCACATTCTTTATGTGTCTGTCCGAAGCCACTAGCCTGTAGTTTGGTGGTTGTCGTCGGTTCTGTTATTTTTCGTAAATTGTTTTGTTATGAGTTAGGCCATTAGTTTTCTTGTTGAATCCTTCCACAATTTTCATGTCGAGGCTTTTTATAGCCGATTGTAAGGTACGATTTTTCGTTGTTGAAGGCCAAACGATAGCATATAATTGCTTACATACACTTTATTTGACCCTGGTGGATAGTTATCTTATTTGCAATGATACAACATCTCCACTGTTTATATTTAAAAAAAAACAGCACCAACAAAAGATGAATGGTCGTTTTTTTTTATTGAACTTACAAAATTTCACCCTGACAACAAATAAGAACACAGTCGTTAGTATTATAACGATATATGAATGTATTCAGGATAATATGGTTGAAATTAACGGCATATATTTTATAATATTTGATAAGTAGTTTATTTTGTATATTTGTAAGCCGGTAAAGCTTTGATACAGCCAAAATGTCGTCACTTGATATTATCTAATTTATAATAAAACAGTGATAAATTTCATCTTTAAATTACAAAATATTGCAAGACGCCGTACAGACAAAAGTTGTTATTTTGCAATTCGCCGTACAACGTCCTGCAATTCGCCGTACAATAAACAAACAATGTTTTGGTCCATATTCTTTAAAATCATCTTTATGACAACAGATTTCAGTCAATATGATGTCACACTATCATAATCTAAAAACGTGTCTGGAAAAATAATGAAAAACAGTTGAATATCTTGCCAATGGGGCGACAGTGGACAATCGACCTCGAAACTTTCAGGTACTAAGTGGCAAGCTTTGGAGTATAACACAAAATCTTGTCTTAATTTTGTACTTATCGGCCTAATAATTTAAAGAATTATATATCAGAAAATCATTTCTTAAGCAGTACCCTCGTCAAATCAGTAGAAATGCTTTAAATTGAATGAATTCTTACCTTGTTTACTTTTTTTTTCCATTTCTCTCCGCTTCGTTAGTACCCAATTTCCGGTGGCGATGATACACAGTGATAATGAAACATTTTAAAAATCTGACAATTGATACATCTATATCTTTTTCAGGAAGATTGGTCCTGACCTATGTATAATTATAACATTAATACCTGTTAGGAGCACAGATAATTTGATGATTACCGTTACAGGGAACTTGTAGATAATCATATCATCATAAATATTTTTTGAATGAATCAAATAATCCTATCCAATATTACCAAAAGTCCAGATTACAAATTATTTTTCTTTTTTAAGGACTTTGAGACTTGTCCATAAAAAATTTAGTCCATCCATTTATTGTGGTAAAATGACCCCTTGATTAAGGGCAAGAGGGCCTACTGATCCATAGCCATAAATGTTAAACAATGGAATAAACAGTGGTTGTGAATGAATATAACCAGTTGGTTGTAAATTAACATAACTGTTCTGTTGCAAGTTTATATAATTGGCAGTCTGTTGTGAATTGATATAATTGTTCTGTTGTGTGTTAATATAAAAGGTCTGTTGTGAATTAACATAACTGGTCTGCTGAGATTTCCCATTAAGCTGATCAAAAACTGGTTGTTTCTCGACGCAGTAACTGTGCTCAGTCTGTATGTAACTCTTTCCCTTCTGCTCAACCAGTGTTTGATTGACTACTGTAGGTTTCTCAATAATCTGATTCTCTTCTGAACTATAATGATTGTCTTGTTCTGACGGAATTTGACTACTTTCCATAAGTTTAGATTGACAATCAGTAACAGTACTTGAGGCTTGATTTATCTTCATGTTTTTCTTTTGACCATTTTTCTTGTGAAGTATCTCTTTATATTTTTCCTTGGTAATTTTGTTAATATCTTGATCATCTTTCTCAGAAAGTAAGGATGTTACTTTGTCTTCAGCAATATTCTTACTATTTACCAGTATATTTGTTGACTCCTCGTTCAATCTTTTGGAAGTAGATATGACAGTTTTTAGTTTTGACTTCATGGCTCCTTTACCACGAGATGTCACCATAATAAATTTTCTAAAGCCAGACAGGGGTTTAGGGTTTTTCTTTTTCTTTTCCTTTGCTGGCTTTGGCTTTGATGGGTCCTCTTTATATATTGACTTGGAAGGTTGGTCTAGTGTCTTAACTCTCATAATTGGTGGTAAGTTTCCATCACTCCCATGAACAGATTTCATGTGCTTACGTAGACTTGCCCTGTGTCTGTACTCTTTCCCACAAAAACATTTTTCGATTTTGTTCTCTGAATGATGACGTTTGGTGTGACGGATCTGTTCCTGTCGTGACTTGAATTTTGATGAACATGAACTGCAGCTAAAATTTCTTACGTCATTATGCTTAAATGTCATGTGTATTTGAAGATTGTTATTTGCATGAAAACATGCACCACATAATTCACACAAATGTGTTCTTTCTGATTCAAAGTGTCTTTTCATATGAGACTTGACTGCTCCAGAATGTGGGCTCTTATAACTACAGTGTTTACAGGTATAAAGCTTTTCCGTGTTGTGACATATCATATGTATCTTTAAATATTTCCATCTGAAAATAAAAGAGAAATGTGTCCATCAATACAGATACAATGTACACATAAGTTTTCAGCTACTACACAACAACGAAATAACTTCATTCAATAACTCTGTTTAGTGTCCAATATTCACATGTCGTAATATATAAAAGAGATACATAAAGGAAATCATGATAATAAATGCATGTGTCTTTCTATGTTGTGATGTTACACTATTATTTCAGGTTAGGGTGAAGGATGGCGCCTGTTAAAACGTTTAAACCCGCTGCATTTGTTTGCACCTGTCCTAATTCAGGAACCTGTTGTTCAGTGGTTGTCGTTTGTTGATGTGGTTCATAAGTGTTTCTCGTTTTTTTATATAGATTAGACCATTGGTTTTCCTGTTTGAATGATTTTACACTAGTCATTTTTGGGGCCCTTTATAGCCTGCTGTTCGGTGTCAGCCAAGGCTCCGTGTTGAAGGCCGTACTTTGACCTATAATGGTTTACTTTTACAAATTGTGACTTGGATGGAGAGTTGTCTCATTGGCATTCATACCACATCTTCTTATAACTATGTCAATGTCATCTCAACTTAAATAAATAAACTTTTTATACTGCAATGTACTGTAAATGCCAGTGCTGGTGGAATGTTGCTTCATAGAAATTGAAAGTTTTCAATGGGAAAAATGGAATCATCTCTTTTGTCATAATGTTTAGTCTCAACAACCTCTCACTGTCAATTTCAAGATGAAAGATATGAATCAGACCTAAATGTATCTGGTATAATTTATCAATGTTTATATTCAAAAATATATACACAACTGTTTGATTGCATTCAAGTGAAATCAAGACATTAAATATTTTTTTTACCTGGTACATGTGCATGATGTGTGTACGTATACTTAAGCACAAGGATCACATTAATGTAAAACTTTGGATTAATAAACTGTGGTCACAGATATATGTCTCGCATGTCAGCATAAAATTCAGAAAAAGACAATCTAATGGACAGCAACATTGCTAATTAATTCAAAGTCACTGGACCAACTAGTGGGTAGGGCCTCAATATGGTTGACAAACTGAGATATACAGACAGCAATGTAACTTTATAGAAAATATTGTCTATTGTAGTAGTTACTATCAAACTAACTTAATCAGAAAACTTGACATGCAAAATTGTTAATTGATTGATAGTCACTGAACCATGACCTAAGGGCAGGGCCTCGAAATAGTCGTCAAACTGATATGTACTGATCGTAATAGTGCAACTTTATACAAAATATCATTGATCTATCGAAAGTAGTTCTTATCAAACTAACTTAAGCAGAAAACTTAGTCGTCAAACTGTTATGTACTGATCGTAGTGCAACTTTATAGAAAATGTCATTGATCTATCGCAAGTACGTAGTTCATATCAAACTAACTTAAGCAGAAAACTTATCATTGAAAATTGCTAGTTAATTCAAAGTTGCTGTACCATGACCTAGGGAGCAGGGCCTAAAAATAGTCTACAAACTGATATGCACTGAAAGACTGATAGTAGTGCAACTTTATAGAAAATGTCATTGATCTATCACAAGAAGTTCCTATCAATCTAACTTAAGAAGAAAAACTTAGCATTGAAAATTGCTTATAAATTCAAAGTCACTAGACCATGTCCTACAGTCAGGGGTACTACTTATACAAGTTATTTTCATTTACTTGTAGAAGTAAATAATAATATACTTATATAAGTAAATTTGTTGTATTCATATTTTCTTATAAAATTTGAATAATCTCCCCTTAATTTTCTCAAAAAATTTACTTGTACATGTATAAGTATTTTTTTTTACAATCCCTAAAATCATGGAAAATTCTGAAGTTTTGGGATGTAAAAACATGCCTCAAACAATTTTTCTCTGGTTAGCTCATAATTTTTTATTAGAGTTCAAACTTTAATCTCATTAATTCAACAAAGAAACTAATTGCGCAAAGATCTTAAGTATTTGCACAAGGCCTTCAAAAATTGCCCCTTGGAGGCTTGTAAATGAGCAGTATTTTGAAGATAACAGACAAATGAAATTTTCATTATCCATGAAATTGTACTTAAATGATTAGTTAAGACATCTGCAAAGGACAGACAATTAAAAACTCTATCATTTCTATTAGAGCAAAGAAGTCCTGAGAAATTCAAGAAAAGCAGAAAGTATGATTTTTTTACTTGTACTAAGTAAAAAAAGTCTAAATGTCTAAGGGGAATAGCTAATCCATTAAAACTATTTACCTATACAAGTAAATAAAATACACTTGCATAAGTATCTAACAAATTTACTTATATAAGTATATTAATATTTACTTCAAGTAAATAAAAATAACTTGTACAAGTAGTACCCCTGACTGTCCTAGGCGCAGGCGAGACAAAAATGACAATACAAAATCTAAGTTAATTTAATAACTCACTTGTAAAATGATTTTCCGCATTCAGTACACAAGAAATTTCTTTCCAAAGTAAATTTCTGTCCACTTTTCTTGCAATGGGAGTAAGATTGTTCATGCATCAATAATCTATTTCTTGTTTTGAAAACACGTTGACATGGTTCACACTTAATAGGTCCTGCAAAAATTAGAAAATTCAATGTTAGCATATTTCAAATGCAACACATTTGCATATACAGTTTTAAACATTTTACATCTCTTGCAACACATTCTTTTACTGTATTCAAATGCTCAGATGCTTTATTGCAAACCAAATGAAAGTTTTCCACAGTCATCTGCTCTTGGTCAAGGTATTTAAACTTTTGTCTGTTATATTGTCCCATTGAATAAATACAATAGCTATTGTTCTCTGTGTAGTTTATTCACTGGGACCTTTAAATTTCTTCTAAGAGAAATCCATCACTCATAATTTACCTTAATCAGCATTTTAAAAATTATTAAAATAGTAATTTCTAAAAATAAATTGACAGCTAATCACCTCAAGACAATACAACATTTCTTTATACATAATTTAAAAGCTGTGTAAGGGAGGTAATTCAAACATAACATTGAATTACCTCCCTTACACTGTAATTTGTACTTAAGTAATTGTCCATTAACCAGGACACCCTTGTTTTTTCTCACTTTTTTGTCCCTAATTCCTAAACTGTTTGAGCCAACCCCCCCCCCCCCCCCCCCCCCAAATGCCAATCCTAACCATCCCTTTGTGGTATGGAAACTTGTGGTATAATTTCACAGAGATCCATACACCGTTCCACAAGTTATTGTCTTGAAACTAGAAAAATGCTTATTTGGGCCCCTTTTTGGCCCCTAATTCCTAAACTGTTAGGACTATAACCCCCAAAATCAATCCAAACTTTCCTTTTGTAATTATAAACCTTGTGTTTAAATTTCGTAGATTTCTATTTACATTTACTAAAGTTATCGTCCGGAAACCAAATGTCTTTGGACAACGACGACGACGTGATATCAATATACTACCGCAAAATATTTTGCGGCCGTATAAAAAATAATTACCTGGTATTTATTAATTATCATGATTATTACCTTCCCTTTTCTGATGTGTAAACAAACTACTGGGTTTGTCAAAGGATTTATCACACTTGTTACATGTGTATTTTCTTTTGACAGCATTGTCTATGGAAACGTTCATACTGTGTACTATTTGGTAGTGATCAGAAAGCTCTATAAATGACTGACATTTTCTATCACAGATAGCACAATCCCATGGCCAATTCTCATGTGTTTCCATGTGTTTGTCATAATGACTTCCAAAATAAAATCCAATGTCACATTCACTGCATTTGAAATTATATGCCACAGTTTTGTCACTTTTAATCTTGAACTTTTTCAACAACTTTTTTTTTCCATTTGATGAACCACATTTACCTTTCTCATAGTTATTAGACAAACTTGGAAAAACATCAATGATCATTTCCTCCTGTAAAGCAGACGGTCTTTCTGGCCATGTTTTCGATGGTGTCTGGGTCATTTCCTCAGCAATAATATCTTCACCTATATCATGTATATCATAGACCTCAGAATGGTCAAAATAAGGTTCCTCAAGAACAACAACATTACTAACATCACTGCCATGTCTCTTTATACTTGTATTATAACTGTCTGTAGTTATTGGCTTGGCAGTAATATCTTCTGTTGAGTCTTGTACAGCCTGATCTATGATTTTATTGCAGGTTTTCATATTAATTGCCTCTGCAACAAACCTATTAGTAGATGGACTATTCATACCACTTCTATCGAATTTACACATTTCCTCACTGACTAAAGAGGCTTCATGGGTTATGTCCTCTTGAATGGCCCTATAAATGGTAGATATCCGATCCAAAGTGCTTTTTGCATCAACTGAAGGAAATAACTGGCATGACTGGGTAGATGGCACTTCTGTTGTATTAAAGGAAGTGCTAACAGATTGTAGACATCTTGTTTGGAAAGATACTAACAAATTAATGGCTTCCTCTTTTTCTTCTGCAGAAAGATTATTTTGAAAAATATCTTCGGCTGATTTCAGCTGAAATAAAGAGATGAATAATTTTATTGTATATTAGTCTGTGAAACAACTGAGTGCATACTTTTTAGCACCTTTTAAATCTATATTAGGTACGGTATGTTGGAAATTTTTTTCTGTATCAAAATGCAGATCCAGTGTTTACACTTTTTATAAAGGAGAATGTCCGGTAAGGGCTAGTTTTGGCCTAATATTCAAAATACATCTAATGAAAGATTTTTGACATTTTTGAACACTTAAGTGTCTACTTCATTCGATTCAATTAGTTTATTTAAAAGGTTTGGACAGATTTGGTCATTAAAGACTCTCAAATGGAAGCTTAAGTATGAAAAATCTATCAAATATGCCATAAAACGTCACTTTTCAGATGGTTTTTGTCTAAAATGTATGTGGCCGCATTCGTTTTCAGTCTAAACCTTTATATATGTTATGTATTATCAAATACAACATATATTAAAATATTAAGACAGAACACAAATGTGGCCACTTCCATTTTAGACAAAAACTGTCTTAAAATTAGCATAAATGCTAAAATTGTGAAGATTTCAGTAATATTGCATGAATTGATGATGCTATTACTTGATGCATGTGCATTGTATTGTCAAAAACAGCCCATATTTATGGAACAGAAGTATTCTACTTTCCAGTAAATAGCTAAAAGTTTACATTTCAACAAATTTGTAAAAATGCTATATTTGGGGGCCAAAAAGGGGTCTTACCAGACCTACTTCTTAAAAGGATCTGAAATGCTCTGATTTACTCTCTGCAGCAAAAAGCTCTCTTAGGTCCTTGGGTTTGTCAAAATAAGACATGTACTTTCAAAATTTAAAGGCAGAAATTTCATTAATTAGCCAAATAATTATAAGTTGGAGAAACTAGTCTTTTTTACTAGAATGAAACATTTTTAGATCTTTGAAGCAAATCGTGGTCACAGGAGATGTAATAACATCAGTGTTACCAATTATTATGCACCAGTAACACACTTGGAAGAAAAACGTCTGTTCAGTGACTTGAGGCTAGAATATTTGAAAGTCCAAAACACAACTAATCTCTTAATTCTGTTTCACAGGTATGCTTAAAGTGCATTGATAAAAGTGACAATTTGCAAAAAAAATTAGATCCCTTAAAATAGGTCTATGCCTTAGGTTAGCCCAATAACTTTAAAAAATTAACATTGGCAAACAAGATTTGGAAACCATATTTTAAGCTTGGCTGTGTAAAGAGGTCCAAAATACTGCATAATGTAAAAATGTGAAGAGAAAAAATTTGCAAAAGAAATATTGTTAAATATAAAAATGTGCATGCAAACAAAATTTAGTAAATATATTTCAAGCTATTAAAGCAGAGTACAGAGGCTAATAAGACTGTAAGATATGAAAATGGACTGAAACAAAATTTTGAAACCATATCTTAAGCAAAGATGTCTAAAGTCAGTGTTTGATACATGGAGGTTCACTTCTTGCAAATCATGAAAAGTCAAATGCTGAGGGATTACTCTACCTAATGTCAAGGGAACATTTGAACTAAACCATCAGAGCCTAAAAAACTTGTGCCAAATAAAGCTAAGGAAATCTATACCTAGTGTAAAAAAACCTTAGCATTTTAAATATTTCAACATTTTATTAACTGTAGATTTACACATGTTACAGAAAATGAATATGTATATATATATCAATGAAATTTTTATGTCTGACAGCACGAAAGTGCTGACTACTGGGCTGGTGATACCCTTGGGGATGGAATGTCTTCTAGCAGTGGCATCGACCCATTAGTTGTAAAAGCTACTCTTTGTAGCAATCAAATTAAAGTTTGTGTCACATTATTAAAAACATTAAACAAATATTTAGGGGGGATTATTTTTCATTGTATTAAAAACAGTAATAAACTGTTGCAAATTTTATTCAGCAGTGGTTCTTATTAATGTCTGCAAAGATTTAGATTGCACTTTCATTTCTCACAGCCTGATTGAGCTAATATAGCCATATTATGGATTTTTCTCATTGTTGAAGGCCGTACAGTGACCTATAGTTGTTAACTTTTATGTCATTTGGTGTCTGGTGTAGATTTGTCTCATTGGCAATCATACCACATCTTCTTATTTTCATATTAAGATATTTAAGCTTATACTGCAGATAATATATATATATATACAGAACCTGGTAAAACTCTTATGAGAAGATGATTTTTTTTAGTTTAAAATCCAAACAATAGGATTGTTACTAAATAATATAAAAAATCATATATGACATATATAATTTTTATCTAATTACGTATATTTTTAAACTACACATGTACATATTAGTTGAAATCCTAAATAAATTGTACCTTTCGCCTTTACAGGCTTTAGCGAAACAAAACTAAATTTTAATTTCACCTTTTCAATGTTAACAATGACTCAGTTATTAGTGATTATTTGGAGATTTTTTCACAACGGGACACCTACACTACAGAATATAGGATACAATGGGGGAATTTAAGTTACATGTAACAATGCCAGTGCGCTATCTTAAAACAGGTCATGGAGATCCCGGATGTATTTAAAATGAACCTTAATTGCCAATGTGGAAATTTTGAGTAGAAGGCCAAGAACTTGAAGAAGATAATACTGATATGTTATTTCACGATTGTTTTGGTATGACATGTAGGAGCAGGAACTGTGTATCACGTTCATAAACTGATAAACGAAAATAGGCATGGAACTAGTAATATCTGTAACTGTTAAAGTAGTCTCAGATAATATTAATCCCCAAAAAACATGAATAAGCTGATATTGATAAACAGATAAACTTAAAAAAATTTTTGGAAATATCTGTAGCACCGAAAATAAGAAAGGGAGGGCCATTTCACAAACACCCGTATTACTACCAAAAAAATCGTCACTTTTATTTTGCATATATTCATATTGTATATAATACCTTTACATAAAACAGTGTGAAATAAATGTTCTGCATTTTCAAATTTTTCGACGATAGAATATTTAGGGGTCCTACACATCCAGGGGAACGAAACGAGAATACCACGTTGTTGTTGCTAGTAATTTCCTCCGTTGACTTCGGAGCACCCTGTTATAAGACGGGTATAAATTTGTTACATGTACTATGATATCGGTATATGGTGGTTATGTAAGGCAAAAAGGATTTCATTAACCATTAACTATACCATTCAATAGTTCAGTCATGCATAATACTTATACAGTTTATACACTATAATAGTTTATTCAAGTTCACTGCCCTAAGATTGTGCAATTCAAACAGGAGATTTCTACTGATCTCTTCTTTGTCCTGAATATTGTCACTTTTTTGTCTATTTTCCCCAACTTTGTTAACATTGAACAATCCAGAATACAGTGCAGGAGTAGTTTGTCATCGTTGAATATCTCAGCTGCTGTTTCAGTGCTAATATGAGTCGGGCCAATAGCTGTGGCTGTGAGGTCCGGCGCTGATACAAATCAGAACTAAAAAACTGAATGGATCTATGAATAGCCATGCTACATCAATCGTTAAAGACCTAAATGTTGCAAAACACCTGTCCTACCTCCATGAAAAATATGTTGTTGTCCCCGCAGATAAACTTGAGTCACTTTTACTTTTGGAGCGTCAAAAATTCGTTGGAAGTAAGTTGATAAATTGCATGCTCATATTGGTGATTTCGAATCTGTTCAAAGTTTTGATTTTTTCTACCCTATATACCACTTTACCTCATAACCTCATTAGAAAAATTCACATACTTAATTAAATGGGCATTTAAAAAATATATATGTTCAAGCTCTTGTATGTCAATTTTTAGTAACAACAAACAAAAGAACTATGTCAATTGGACCTGCTTTGATACGATAACTGCACTTGAATTTTACTCAATAAAATTTTTTGTTCGCTATGGAGATTCCGTATATCGTCAACATGGCCGGTCAAGTTATCGGAATTCCAATGGGGACTTATTGTGAACTACTTATTGCGGACATGTTTCTGTATTATTACGAGTTACAATGTATGACTTAAATCAGCAATGAACCATCGAAACAACATCTGATACATAAATTTAATAACACTTTTAGATATTTGGATGCTATATTGGCTCTCAGTAATGACGACTTCAATATGTACACTAAAGAGATTTATCCTGCTGAACTGACATTAGATAAAGCTAATACTAACAATGAACACTGCCCTTTCCAGGATCTTGATATCTATATCTTTATCGGGAAGCTTAATACCAAACTTTACTATGAAAGAGATGATTTTTCATTTCCTATTGTTAATTATCCATTTTTACATGGTGACCACGTTCCCTTGTCATTATCTTTTATTATACTTCACGTTAAAATGCCATATTTTGATTGGCTAATACGAGGGTGTTAATTTACTCTATTACCCTTCATGGAGACGCTTGATCAAGTGTGCGCTTTATTAAATACGGATGGTTGTTATGTACAAGACGTCATAGTTTATTACTTTGAATTTGAAATTTAATCGACAGTAATAACAGAACATTCAGTATAATAAATTAAATAACACATATCTGAGAGGGTGATAGAGCAGATTGTTACCCCTCGAAAAGACGTTGTCAACCTTGGTTTCGCCTCAGTTGACAATGTTTTCTCGGGGTAACAATCTGCTCTATCACCCTCTCAGCTATGTGTTATTTATATAATGGTGTTTATATATCTCAACTTGTTCGATTCGCTCATGTATGTAACAAAATATTTGATTTTAACGAAAGAAATCTCTTTATTACTGAAAAATTATTACACCAGGGTTTTCGATATCACAAACTTGTCAAAACATTTACTAAATTTTATCATCGGCACAAGGACATCATTCGTAAATATAAATCAACGTGCAGGCATCTTATACGTTCAGGTATTTCACATCCCATCTTTTATGGTAATATTCTATACAAAGCACAACAATGTCGTCATTCACCTGAAAAGCTAAGTTAACCAAACCTTTAAACAGACTTATTCAGAAGGGATATAGTTACGATACTGTTGTCAGGTCATTAAAGATGACAGTTTTTTTGAATAAATATTGATTCACTCATAGGGTATTTGCATCGGAAATAAACACATTTATTTCAAAACCAGTTGTTGGCATGATATGGGTTATGTTCTTCTCGAATATTTCATGATGGTATGATACTAAACCCCTAACGATTTTGAATAAGTGAAACATGGCAACTATATTTTAAAAGCTTTAGAAAAACAAATTTCTTTTTCAGATACATGGTTTGCCTTTTTGTATACCAAATTTTAGTAACTTCGTTTACGTCTGTAACGCTCGCGTCAGGTTTTTGATATTTAGTATCAATCGGCAATCCTCGGGTGAATCCGCTACTTATCGGCCGAGTTGTGAGGAATGATTCGGTATTAGTATTAAAGTGTGGTCTGTTTCTTTACTTCGGGTATTAAGTTTGATCCGCAGGAGTTGATGAAGGATTTTGATAAATGGGATCCGGTTTTTTCAGAATAAAGTAAAGATATCAATGATGAAATGAAAATACATCTGTGAGTTTGACTGTCCCTCTGATATCTTTCGCCCCTCTTTTTTTAACGACATTTGCTTTTTTAGATAAGAGAGAACTCCGGGTACTGGTCTGTAGCCCATTTCTCAGACATCAGTCTATTGTTCTATCAGTAGATTATCTTTGAAGAGTCCATTGTCAATCGAAATTATCTATTATTCTAACTTTCAACTTACAAACGTTTTACCTCTCAAAAAATATATCATACATTTGCGGCTCGAACTTGCGAGTATTTTCTTCAATAATGATACAACTCCACAACGACTGCTAATATGCAATCTTAACGTGAGGGTACCCACATAGGACCTATATAAACAGGTTTTTCACTTACTAGAAATACGAAGATAGGCTATGAGTGCCAATGAGACAACTCTCCATCCAAGTCACAATGTGTAAAAAGTAAACAATTATGGGTCAAAGTACAGCCTTCAACACGGAGCCTTGGTACACATCGAACAGTAAGCTATAAAGGGCCCAAAAATGACTAGTGTTAAACCATTCAAACAGGAAAATCAAAGGTCAAATTTATATATAAAAAAAACGAATAACGAGAAAAACTTACATGTATGAACGACAACCACTGAATATGTTTGTTTGTGATCCTGACAAAAGTTTCTATTCTGTGTTTATTTCATAGATGTATCCTTATATACTATAGATAGTTCCACCATTTTATCTTTGCATCTTTATTGAGTCATAGAAAAATAAGTTTGAACCGACCTCCTAAAGTTCTATGATATAATGTGGAGTACCCAAATTGCATCTATGCTTTAATTCCCCACCGTAAAAATCGAATAACTGATATTTTGTTTTATATCTCCAAATATTTATAACAATAGTCTATGCTTACTGTTCCTTTTTTGTTTCTTCAAGAAATGGATGTCAGTAACATATTTTAAAAGTTTTGGTCGTTGCATGGCGACGTTTCCGTAGATTTTACTTTCTCCAGTGAATACTTCATCTGTTGATATATACATGAACATTTTGTGTATATTTGAATATATCAACAGATATGTTGCAAGATGTGCATATTGACAAATTATAAAAATACAAATTGTTTAGTCACTAAGAAAAATAGTTTATACACTAAAAGCGCTTTACTGATAACTCTTGTCCTAAAAAAAATGCACACACATATGTAGCTGTTAAATTGATAATGAACTTCAATATATATTTTGCCTTTATTTTAATTTTCTGTTTTGAATTTTATGTATTTTTTTTTAATTTTTGGGTGTTGTGTTAACCCATGGAATATAACGTTCAATATTCGACATTTCTAAATCAATTAGGCAACGTTAGAAGCGGCACTAGAAAAAGGTAAACACATTTACCCTATATGTAACTCCAGCTCAGTCCGTTTCCCTGTGCCCCCCCCCCCCTCCCCCCCCCCCCCCCCCAAAAAAAAAAAAAGAAAAAGAAAAGAAAAGAAATAAATATAAAATCCGCCTCTGACTGCATATGTATAAATGAAAAGCAAAGCAATCATTTGCAAATTTATAACTGTTAAAACAGATGGCTCCTTCAGTATCCTCGAGCTTCGACTGAATACTAGTAATATAATGTTCAATCATCGTGTTGAGGTATTTGTGAAGAAAATGTAGAACATTTTACCTAAAACAATCCAGTCCAGTCGGTTTATTTGTTACATTTTCCAAATTAAAAAGATTCATTGTATCATATAATTTATTATTATGAATTGAAAATAAATCAGAGTTCAAATCTCCTGTTATCACAATATTCAAACTTAGTAGGTAACTCAATTCCAGTGAAAAAATAAGTCTTGTCCAATAGTCATTGTCCGTCTACTCAGGTCTATAAGTATAACAAAGAAGAAATGACTGGCCTTTACCTTTAATCTCTACCCATATTGTCTCATCAATGTGGTTTTCGAGTTCACCTTTACGTAAGATGGATATATCATTCTTTACATAGATGACAATGCCTCCGCCAGCACTGTTACGATCATTTCGGATTATATTCTTTGAAAATGAGGAAAGCTGCAAATCGTCTATGTTAACAGTTGGATCCAAATGAGTTTCAGTTATAGTTACTTTATCAAATTCATCAGTAAAATGTTGGAGAAAATTAAGCTTATTTCTTAGACTACGTATGTTTATGTTTCAAATGGATAGTGCGGTTTCATTGATACTAGTACAATCAGTTATAAAATCTGTATTCGGACCTGGGTTAGTCTCAATATTTCCAATAATTAGGATGGAATTTAAAACAAAATAACAGAAAAACAATATCTATATTCGGAATTAAGCTCTGGAGAAGTGAGAGAGAGACGACGAGTAACGAGCATCTGAAATTGGTAAGTAATATTTCTTTTAAAGAGTCTAAAAGTGCATATACATAGCTGCCCTATATTGTTCTATACAATTACCCATTGGGTTTTATCATAGAAATCATAATACACATAAGGCAGCAAAACGAAATATATATATACAATATTAGGTCAATGTCAGAAAAATAT